CGACTCACGCACACTTTATTCAAAATTTTAAAGATATCTTCTGCTGCCCGTCTCTTGGTAGGCACCAGCCGGTGGGAGTTAACGGGTTGCCGGGGCTCCGGCTCGAACAGGCGGGAGAGGCATTTCGATGATTTTCCCCTCTTAAAAAAAATGTCCTTGGGTCTTCGTTAACCACACTTATACTGCTATTTCTCTAGTTCCTGGCTCCAAATGTGATCAGGATCGGTGCAGCATACAAGACGTAGATTTCATTCGGCCCCAACAAAGCTCCACCTCACCGCCAAGCGCCAGTGCCAATCAAATTCACAGATCATAACATTAAGACAAATGCTAACTATTGGCCAAATTAATCTAACCGAAATATCCGGTCTATGATGAATCTATTTGCATAATGAACTCAGAGCTCATCAGACGGACAATTAACGTTTTAATTCTAACCGCTATCAAACAAATCTGACTAACATCTTATTTAGTCTAGGTTAAAAATAAAAATGAATCGTCGAAGTGTTTGCACGTGCATAACTTGGCTGCATTGCATCGAATTATAGAGGTGTGGACAGGATCGATTATCGAGCCCGTCAGTTTGATAAAGAAAAAAAATAGATTAAAGAGTTATTTGTATCGAGTTGCGTCTCTTAAATGCGTCTGTTACGTTGATACCTTTGAGTGTTTTGTACTTGCAATTAAATTGCTTCGATATTTTATATCAATGTATCATCGTAATAAGTTTTTAATTCCAGAATTTACAGTATGGAAGAACCATGCTTCGGCACGAACGGGCCGGTCCGACCGGAGTGTACTTACCACAGCCTCCTAGAAAACCGACGTGAAACAACGCTTGCGTGTGTTTCGTGAGTGAAACGGAAACCTAATTATCCCCTCTACCTCCTTCCCCAATCTGCTCAATCACTGAATCCTTAACAATCCTCAAACTCCTAATCTCCAAAAGGCCGGTAACGCAATTGTAACGCCTCTGGTGTTCCGAGTGTAAAAGGGCGACGCCGATGGCTTACCATCAGGTGCTCCGTCTGCTCATATACCGGGCTTATCGCATAAAAAATAAGACTTAGGTATCTCATATTATTATTTGCCTTCTAGATGGACATTTAAAAGCTCCCTATTAAATTATAAGATTAAATATGATGCCTGACTTTTTTTTTAAGGGGGGAAAATCATCGAATGACTTCTCCCACCTGGGTGAGGCGGGAGGGAGTGTCAGACTCTTACTGACTAAAAACCACCCCGTTCCTTCTCCTGCACGTCGAGCCGGAACCCCGGTTACCCGTTAGGTTCTCCGCGACATGAATGCCTGACTTAGCAATTTCACAAACATAGTCCAGTTTAGAAGCGTCACACCTCGTTCCACTGTTCAGTCTCAAATACAAATCTCATTTACATCTTAAAATATTCAGACTGCAAAGTTTAATTAGGATTTTAGTGTTAATACTGCGGTTTTAATTAAAATTCCTTTTGAAGTATGTAATATCTTGTATAAGACTAATTTGCTAAACATCACAATCATATACGTAGCAAGCTTCAGTCCTCATAAATATTACTGCCTATAATATTTTATCAGTTTAGGCAGGCAGAGATCTGGGGTTCCGGGTTGTAGCGGGAGTAAAAACAGAATAGTTTTAAGTCAATAAGAGTCAGACACTGCCTCACACCTCGACCTCGACCAAGGCCGGAGAAGTCATTGAATAATTTTCTCCCTAAACAAACAGGCAGAGATTTCACTCACTCAATAGTAAGAAAAACGTAACGTTCGTTCTTCTCCATAGGAATCTACACCTTGGAATGAGCAAGTAGCTTCACTGCTAAATTTTTGTTGTTGACGTTCAAAAGTGCCTTCCTGGTCTAATTGAAATAAATGTTTTTGACTTTGACTTTAACTAATTGTCTTTTTTTATTTAGATAGTCAAAAAAGGTCGTATGTTTAATAGACTAGGTAAGTAAACAAAAGCACATAGCCTTTTAGAAATCAGAGAGACATCGACTTGTGTTGTTACCGAAACAAAAGACTACCTATTTACAATGCAAAATGTGTAGGTACCTAGAATATCCTGGTGGAACTGATTTACTTAATAAAAGGTAGCCAACCTGCTTGTACTGGTACTCTACCTATTTTGCGTAATAAGTGAACTGTTTAAACATATATGGGAACACTTTACCATGAAAGTGCATAACTTTTACAGTTATTTGCATAGGTAAGTGGGAAGACAAATAGATGACGTTTAAAGTCTGAAATAAGATGATTTTTTTATACATTGCCCCACATCTGGATTTTCTCCTATGTCATGAGTGCATAAACATACAAGTTCACATGCACAATGCCACCCAGACCCGAAACAACAATCTGTGGATCACATGATTTGTTCCGTGGGGGAATCGAACCCGCGACACATTGAACGGCAGCTGGTTGCCCAGCCATCACATCAACCGTTCAGACTAAGTAACGATCTATAATTCTAGTTCATTTAACTATGGGTTGCCTTATACTCCTCAGAGGTCAGGATCTACAGTAGGGATCGAGAAAAGCATCGAGACAAACGCCCAATGCATCTCAGCAACACAAACTATCTTGATTCCAGCACCAAAATTAACTAGAAGATATCATCATCATGGTCAGCCGGTCATACCTCCATTTCGGAACATTTTTTTTAGGGGGTAAAATCATCGAATGACTGCTCCCGCCTGGGTGAGGCGGGAGGGAGTGTCAGACTCTTACTGACTAAAAACCACACCGTTCCTTCTCCTTTACGTCGAGCCGGAGCCCCGGTAATCCGTTAGGTTGTCCGCAACTCCGAATCGGCATCACAGAAAGAATAAAGAAATCTGCTTTACGTCCTTCGATGCCTGATTGCGATTTTAGGACATATTCCTAAGTTTCTAAGGTCCATGTTTCTTGTTACAGAAGATAGCATTAAAAGAAGATTAAATTAAAAATAATTTCTAGTTTTCTATTGTCCATAAAAAGCACACACATATATCTATCAAAATTCACGACACCTATTACATGGATAAGGAAAATGTAAGATAGAATTAGGACACACAGAACAGATGCTCTTTCGAACATACATATGTTAGCCATCGAACTTCCCACACTATCGCTAAAATATGATATCCAGAAACCGATTTTAATTTGCTCGTACCGCGAATCGATAACGGTAAATATTCCAATAACATTGTAAGCTCTTAAACAGAGATAGAAAGCCTATGTATATAAATATCATCAAGAAAGGTTCATTGAGGTAATAATTGTGCTTATAAATACAATAATAGGGTAGTTTCCTAAATTTTATTTTAATGTCCGTCTGGTAGATTATTTTAAAATATTAGACACGTATTTTATCGGTGTCGTGGTGGCGCGGAGGTTTAAGACGCCCACTTCTCATGCATGAGGGTGCGGGTTCGAAACCTACCAACGGCAAGTACCAATGTGACTTTTTCCGAGTTATATGTACTTTCTAAGATTATTTAGACACCACTGACAAACGGTGAAGGAAAAACATCGTGAGGAAACCTGGATTTATAATTTCTAATTATAAGTTTGTAATCGCCAACCCGCATTGAGCAAGCGTGGTGATTAATGCTCTAACCTTCTCCGTGTGAGAAGAGGCTTTGCTCAGCAGTGGGCATTTATAGGCTGTTGATGATGATGATTTTATCTTTTCTCGCAAAATTAAATGCTTTCGACGATATATTTATGATTAATGTCGTGTGACGTCACAGCGTGCAACAAAATGTAGCACGTTGTGACGTAACTACCTCCTACTCCTAAACTTATATCCATTTTATTTAAGTATTGTAACTTTATACGACTAAATAAAAAAATACTTGTCTAATGTTTTTTCATTATCTCACTAACAGACTAATTAGATTTTTAATTTTCTTACCCTGGAAACTACCCTATTGTGTCTATAAATACTTTTGACATTTTGTACTAGGGACCTACTATAACAAATATTTATATTGGCCCTTTGATGTTCAGCATAGCCTGTAAATAATTAACTAATTTTCCACCTACAGTACACCTGCAACACCAAAGACATCACAATCACTTGTACCAAAAATATAAAGTTGCGTGTCAATTTTCTTTTTTTTTCAATGACACGTGTGCCTTTGATTTTCCATCTCTGCTCTATAACTCGTAAGAATAGGCCAAAAACATTTGAAGCATTGCAAAAGGGCGCAAACAGCCATATTGGTTTCATCTATCAACGAACGTAGGAATGTGATTATTTGAAATCGAATTTAGAACGATGAAGTGAGCAATAAATAGGTTATTTGATGAATGAACCTTGGCCCACTTATCACAGTTTTATTTGATAAAAAATATTTATAGGTTATGTTTATTTTTTATTTTATCTTTTTTGTAAGGTATTTGTTTCCAGCCAGTGTTGTGGCAGATGGCAACAACAGCTGTTCTAAAATAATATTATTATATTTTACATAGCTTTGTTAATAATATTTCGGAGAATTTTTTAGCAGATCACAATCATTTTGTCCATGTGACCGGGATGTTGTTTTTGCTGATTAGAAAACCTCAAGTCAACTCAAATAAGTTTACGTCTATTTTACTGAGTGGATACGGGCAAAAAACATAACTCTATCGTCTATGATATTATTTAACAAAATCAGCAAAAAACATAAGTCTGTTGTCTATGATACTATTAAACAAAATCGTCGCTGAAACCACTGTGCTGAAACAGTCTGTTGTCGAAAGTGCGAAATAATTTTTTTTTGTGCTATTTTCACCACAAAATATGTGGATTTGGTGCTGAACACAGGTCACTTTTATCTGAAGATCATTGGTCATAAAGTCATGATGAACTGATTCTTAAGTTCTGGTCTAGTTCCAGATTCAAGTTTAGAAGATTTCAGTACCACGGGCTAAGCTTCGGACAGGACGGTGATATCGAATGTTAGTAAAAACAAAAACGTCTTAATATTAAAAACATTTAATAAGAGATTATTAAAATTAAAACAATTTGAGCTATTTACTGGTACGGCTGTGGCGGTGTAGTTTGTACTTGAGAGTTCTGTTGGGAATGATAGAAATATAGGAATTTATAATACTTGCTAGATCGGGCATTGTTCATTAAATGCTTGCTTATAGCTTTACACATTTTGTCCTTTGGAGTGTTGAATTCTACGCCATCCTCGAAGGTGTTCGCAATGTCCAAAAAGTTTTGAGCAGTCTCGTCGCATGGATTTTCTTCGACGAAGTACCTGTAATGAAGGAAACGATTTTATAGAGGTAATAAAACTAGCTTCTGCCCGCGACTTTGTACGCGCAATCCCGATATTTCCCGTTCCTGTTCTTGATTTTCGGTAAAACGTAAAAAAAAAGAATTGGGTAAAAAGTATCCTATGTCCGTCTCCTGGTTCTAACCTTCCCACCAATTTTCATCCAAATCGATTTAGCCATTCTTGAGTTATAAATAGTGTAACTAACACGACTTTCTTTTATATATATAAGACTACCTTTCGGTTTCACTCACTCTGCTCGGCGCCTATTGAATGTAGCGTGATATTTTATAGCCTATAGCCTTCCTTGATAAATGGGCTATCCAACACAGACAGAATTTTTTGAATCGGACCAGTATTTTCGGAGATTAGCGCGTTCAAACAAACAAACAATAAAATAAAAACTGCGTTTAAAAAACCGACTTCAAAAAACCAAAAACTAATAACAAAAAAAAGTCAAAACTAAAAAGCAAAAAATAACTACTACCTACTGATAGGTTACCCACCCACTGATAGGTAAGAAGTAGATGTAATTGATTTATCTACCTGTAGAGGAGGCCTTTGTCGAAAGGCAAGCTGTAAGAGGAGAGAAACCGAATGCTGAGATTATGTTCGAGTAGTTTTTAAGTTTCAGTTATTTCTTACCTCTTTGTTACAACGTTGGTGGTTACAACTGTATTTTTTGTTAATTGTAACCATAGCAATAAAGGCTTATTTTATTTTTCATTTTATTATAGGGCTAACTTTATCGTCGGTGAGGAAGCAAATCATTTAGAATTAATACCATAAATTATCTTTCAGTAATATTCATCCCTACGTCCTCGCTAGTGGTATGACGTCATGGTGTCAAAGTCATGAAACTAAGATCACTCCATAGCCTACACAGTTAACCACAGATTAACAAACTCACCTCAAACAATCCCTCATATAAACGAAATGGTCCAGAAAACAAGAACAAGGTCCGAATTGAACCAGCAAAGGTGTGACGGGCACTGCCACAGTATTGACAGCATCCAGGACTTCATGCTGTGACTCGCTGGGCCTTCTCGACTGGTCCACATACGTCTCCTTTCTTCCTTTCTCCCCAAACTTCTTCAGGAACAGCTTTCTGATCAAAGTGGATGTCAAAACTGGCATCTGCTTGTTCACGTTCATTTCAAATGTCCTTTTGTTGTACTCCTCATGTTGTTTGTCGATTGCCACCTCCCTCTTGACCTCAGTGAGAATGGATTCAAGGTCCTGCGTTGGGGAGAGGCCGTCTATCTTCTTGCATAATGTCTGGATGAACCAGGAGCCGTAGAGTTCATTTCTGGAAAAAAATTGTTGGTAGGTATTTGTTATAGTGGCAACTGCCACCGTAAGCACGGGCCTGCATGCAGACGGCGCGGACGGCGAGTACTGGTGACTCGCCACCCAACCAGAACCAGGCCCGAGCGTACTGCGCGTCGCGTTCCGCGCGCTCCTCAAAGAGTCATCAGACCACCACAGACGGGGCCCAAAAGGGCTGATGCCGATACGGAGCCGCGGAAGACTTAACGGGTTGCCGGGGCTCCGGCTCGAAGTGCAGGAGTAGGAACGGGGTGGTTTTTAGTCAGTAAGAGTCTGACACTCCCTCTCGCCTCACCCGGGCGGGAGAAGTCATTGGATGATTTTGCCCCCCTCCCGTTATCTTATGTTTTACAATTTTTTGATTTTGATATAATTAGTGAAAGTTAATTAAAATTAGAAATGGGAAATCTGTTGTCACTTTTCGAACTGAAAATTCAATAATTTTCTAAGTGTGGTAATCGGACTATATGTTTATACAGCGATAGTAATACGACATAATATAGTAACAACTAGACATGGGTATATTAAGCCGGTAAAAGAACAAATTTAATCAACAATTCTATGCCTTTGTAAAAAAAAACTATAAGGTGTAATTAAATCTGCTCCTAATAGAATTCATGTAAATTCCAAAAATGTTATTATGATAATTACCTGTGTGAAGCCCGGCCAACATAAGAACTATGCAGGATCAGGAGATCAGACTCGACAGGCAGGATGTAAGGCTCCAGATCCTCTTCATCGAAGTCTTTGCGGATCTTGCCAGCGTGGAACACTGGTAGACCTTGCGTGATCTTCGTACCACGGCATGCCTGGAATGAGGTATTTCATTTCCATCAATCAATGAGGTATTTTGAGGAGTTCCGGTTAGTAATGATTAACTGTAAAGACAAATATTAAATTGTTAAAAATAACTCCTCTATGCATAATTTAAGGTCGCTTTTCCTTTTCTAAGGAGGCCACTAATAATCACTGGGTCACCGGGGGCTCCGGTTCGAAGGAAGCAGGAGTAACGGGGTGGCTTTAGTCAGTAAGTCTGACACTCCCTTCTGTCTAACGCAGGCGGGGGAAACCATTCGATGATTTTCCCCCTTAAAAAATGCCTGGTATGATGGATTTAATTGATTAGGTAGTTGAATACTAGAATAGTAACTCCATAAGTATGAAGAAGCTGGTATAACTTATTTTGTGTTCTGGACCTTTAAGTACTTCTCAAAAACCAACAGTCAACCAATAATATCATCAGCATATGATGTAAGTATGTAGAAGGAGTACTAAAAACAGACGAGCCGCATATCATTTTTCGGTTATAATTTGAACCATATAAAAACTTTTATTAACATAACATAACATCACGCCTTTTATCACCGAAGGGGTAGGCAGAGGTACACATTATGCCACTGTGCAATGTAACACCCTCTTTTCACTATTTATGTTATGAGTCGCATGTAATAAGGGGGGAGCCTATTGCCATATACCGGGCACAATTCCAGACTCCGTGCTACAACGGAGAATTTTTTAAAAACCAAGTAATACTTTGCCCGACCCGGGAATTGAACCCGAGACCCCTTGCCCGGCAGTCGCACTTGCGACCACTCGGCCAATGAGGCAGTCTTTACTATTTATTTTTATGAAAACTTTTATTAATAAGAAATATTCACATTTCTATACAACTTATCTTCGTAACTACGTATAACTATAATGAACCACACCCACAACATCATACATTATGAAATTACTCAACATAAATGCAATATTTTAAGTGTGGGAGAGCCATGCTTCGGCACGAATGGGCCGGCTCGACCGGAGTGATACCACGGCCTCAAAGAAAACCGACGTGAAGCAACGCTTGCGTTGTGTTTCGTCGTGTGAGTGAGGTTACCGGAATGCCCAATTACCCTCCCCTTCCCCAATCTCCCCAATCCCTGAATCCCCAACGATCCTCAAACTCCTAATCCCCAAAAAGCCGGTAACGCACTTGTAACGCCTCTAGTGTTCCAGGTGTCCATGAGCGACGCCGATTGCTTACCATCAGGTGATCCGTCTGCTCGCTTACCGGCTTATGCCATAAAAAAAAAAAAAAATATTGCAACACTGTAAGTACCTACACATCAATGAAACACTACGTCAAAAAGTACGAAGTTCCGCATTCACACACGTAGACGTAGGTATACAATACAAAAAAAAACATAAACAAACGAATATGACTCATAACATGATTAGAAATAAAGAAAATGCCAAATTCGGTCTTTGTTCTTTTTGTTTTTGATAAAACGTAATAGAATGAGTAATGTTTGGCAATGAAATTACTCTATGATCCGATAGGCTATCGGAACATCACTCTATTGGTGGATTACCAATCAAGGCCGGATCCAATCCCCAGAGGGGTTGACAAATCATTAGCTGTTCCAATTTTATCTGATAAGAATCAAAGAAACTGTGTTATGAGAGAATATCGAGACATATTGCCTGATATGTATCAATCTTTATAAATATAATTCTTCTGTGAGTGTGTATGTCACTGAACTTCTCTCAAACGACTGGACCGATTTTGATGAAATTTTTTGTGTGTGTTCAAGGGGATCTGGGAATGGTTTAGATTCACAAACCAGCCCGGCAGATGGCGCTGCAGTCGATGTTTAGGTTATTTAATTTTATCCTAAACGACTGCACTGATTTGAATGAATTTTTGTTTATATATTCAAGTGGATAAGCAGGACAACGTCTGTCGGGTCCGCTAGTAAAACTATATAAAAAGAACTTTGGAGGTTTTTCCCAAAAGGTAACTGATACAAGTCTTCTATGACAAATAGAGTCATCAGTACAAAAGAAACTAAAAAAATGCTATTGTAAGGCAAATAAAATAATCCTTATCCTTACTATATAATATTATAAATCGGAAAGTGACTTTGTTTGTTTGTTTGTTTGTTCCACTTTCACGCCGTAACTACTAAACCGATTGCTTTGATTTTTTGCAGACGTGAAGTTAGAAGTCCGGATTAAATAATAGGGTACTTTTTATCCCGGAAAAATTTGATATCCTCGAGAGAAAATTAAATTATTAGTATAGATGGCGCTGTGTGTATTGGTATATATCACATAGGTTACTTTTATCCTTTTGTAACGCGAGCGAAGCCGCGGGTAAAAGCTAGTATGAATATAAAATGGTTGGAATATAAAAAGATATCAACAAAGAACTTAAAACTGAAAGGTTGTTTGTAATTTGAATAGTCAAGTCTGTCTGTGGTTCGAAACTAGTAGAGCTTTTCTCAGTATATTCACGTGAGTAACCCGCGATTTTAGTTAATTCATTATGTCTCACGATAGTTATTATAAAAACAGTCAAGTCTGTGTTTAAAATAGCTAATGGGAGGTAAGGAGGACAAAAAGCCACAGCTGCTGATAGCAAATAAGTCATGAAGAATTCTTTACGTATTATAACCGTACCAGGTACCAACTGTTGCCTGTGACATCATCCGCGTAGAATATGATGCTTGTTTTATCCCTTTGATCGAGATAAAAAGTATCCTATCACCTAAGTCAACCTACACCCTGCTTGTATACCAAATTTCATCAAATCCGTTCAGTAGTTTCAGCGTGATTGGCGGACAAATATTTAAACAAAGAAACTATCACATCACTACATAGTATAAAACAAAGTCTATCCGCCAGCGTAGCCAAGGCGCGGCGGGTCGCTAGTTTATAATATTTATTTATTTATTTATTTATTTATTTCTTCTTCACAAAACACAACAGTGAATGGCGGACTTAATGCCTATAGGCATTATTTTACAGTCAACGATAGGGAAGCTCAGAGAAATGCAGTGGTAGATTCGAAGGCAGAACACAATTCAAAAAAAAATTGTTATGTAATATGTATACTACACACATAAATATACCCACATAAGTATTCTACCCAAATAATATTATTAGAGCGATAAAGAAAACACTTGCATAGTTTGCCACGGGCCCAATAGATGTTATATTGCACACGAAATAAACCCTTAAGACTACCCAAACAGCACCCAAATTCCTTTACATCTTCAAACTCACCTGTATGATAATAATCTTAGGTTTAGTCACTAGCGTGGGCTTGGAGGAGTCTTTGAAGTGGTTGATGACTTCGATCTCGCTGTACTGCTGGTCTTTTGCCCTTAGTAGACCGTTGTTAGAGCCGTGTGTCAAAATGGCCACCGCCACACAGCCATAGTCAGTGAAATCTCTCTCGCTAACTGAAATTACGTAAAAAAGGACGATAAATGTCTATTTTATAGTCTTTTTTTTAAGGGGAAAAATCATCGAATGACTGCTCCCGCCTGGGTGAGGCGGGAGGGAGTGTCAGACTCTTACTGACTAAAAATCACCCCGTTCCTTCTCCTGCACGTCGAGCCGGAGCCCCGGTAACCCGTTAGGTTCTCCGCGACTCCGAATTTTTTAAAGTCTAGTATCGAACGTAAAAGACAAAACGCGTTTTTATGAACAAACTTCAAAAAGAAAATAATTGGTTCTCAGTTTGACTTATGTGTGTATGTAAGTTTGTGCTCGATTACCTAGGGATTGGCTACACCGATATTGTTGCGATTTTCAGAAAAGTATTTGTTACACGAAGGTTTTATTTTTTTTTTATGGGATAAGCCGGTAAACGATCAGACGTATCACCTGATGGTAAGCAATCGGCGTCGCCCATGGACACCTGGAACACCAGAGGCGTTACAAGTGCGTTACCGGCCTTTTGGAATTAGGAATTTGAGGGTTGTCGGGGATTCAGGGATTGGGGAAAGGGGGGGAGGGTAATTAGGCATCCGGTTACCTCACTCACACGACGAAACACAACACAACGTTGTTTCACTCCGGTCGAGTCGGCCCATTCGTGCCGAAGCATGGCGCTCCCACACTTAAAATGTGAGGAAACCTAAGCTTATAATTTAAAATTATAAGTTTGAAATTACCAACCCGTGTTGAGCAAGCGTAGCGATTAATGCTCAAACCTTCTCCGTGTGAGAAGTGGTTTATAGTCAGCAGTGGCCACTTATAGGCTGTTAATGACGATGATGTAAATTAGGTAATTTCGGCGATTAAGTCTAAAGTCATCAGGGATGTCCATAAAAACAAATAGTACGCTAGGTACTTTCCCAATAGCGTTTTTTAATATCTACTAAGTATTTCATATCATTCTCATTCATTAGCTTTTAAAAAGTAAATAAATTGATAACAGTGCAATAAAAATTAATCACCAATTTAAAAAAATACTGATTATGATGAACAGTGGAGATGTTGTTCAAATATCTTGCTATCTCTTTCTTACCTATTGACGTCAATGTTTATGTTACTCATAATTGTTTTTTTTTAATCTTTAGTTTTTAAATATAGGGTTTTTTTCATAAATGGAATACTCGCTATTACTTCAAAATTGATCTTACAAATGCATCATACCTTGTGCATTTTTTTTTCTTTTTCTTATTTTTAAATAAGCTACGTATCCAAATTTGGAATTTGGCAATAGGCCTTTGTCCAGCACGTAGGACGTCTTTCGGCTGTTGATGATGATGAAGTATTCAAATTAGGTCTCGATGTTCACTGAAGGTCTGAAGGCTTAGTACGATATTATTTAGATCATTTTACGTTTAAAGTTTAAAGTAATCGAAACGAGATCGCGTTCGGCTCTCTGGTTGGTTGGTTTATTGGAGCCGGCCAATCAGAGTTCGGAATGCGGTCGCGGCAGTTATTTTTAATTTGCAAGAAATGCTTTGACATTGGTATGCAAACTGTGTGGCTGAGGAGAATAACTACGTTTGTCAAAACCGCTACGTTTTAAATAATAAATAAATAAATAAATAAATTGTTTATTTTATAAAAAGGGACATATTTACATGAATAGTATCTTAACGATTTGATTAGAGCTCAGTAGCTTATTTGCCTGAACTAGGTTGAACCTGTGTTTCAGACTATTCAGTACAATATTTTTCATTTTAACGTTATAAATAAATTAACAGTATAAAGTACTAAAATAAATCTTACATAACATAAAAGTAAAAGGTAAAAACAGCGAGTTAGCAGATTATCTGCTACTACGGGTATCGAAAGAGCCGATTAACTACTTAAATACTCGTATATCGGACACAAAAGAAACTCCGTTGTATCTCGCGTGGATCCACGTTTAGACACACACACAATTGGTTAAGGAACTTCAATAAGTTAAGGATTTGAGCATAACTTTGATATAAAACACCATTTTTCCTGACATAAACGAAAAAGATGTCAAAAATTTACCTAAGTAGTAGCTACATAATCTGTTTCCAAACCTTTTACTAGAAACAATGCAAAATTATTTGCGACAGAAACAAGTTCAAACGTGATTAAAACAATCAACAAGAATGTGCCTCATACGACCACTCCCTGTAACGAGACTAATCTAACATCTAAACCTTCAATTAACCTGAACAGTGACTAAACAAAGACATTTCTAAAATGCCTATAGCCTGGTCTATTGAATTAGGTAATAACAGCTTTTTGAACACGTCTGATAGAAGAAGAAGAATGGATAAGAAGACCCCAAGTACCTTAGGATACAGGCAGGCAGATGATTGTTGATTTTGAACGTGTTGTTTCTGAGATTTAAAAATGATAACATTTTTGGGTAAACGAGCAGACGGATCACCTGATGGTAAGCAATCGGCGTCGCCCATGGACACCCGGAAGACCAGTGGCGTTACAAGTGCGTTACCAGCCTCTTGGGGATTAGCAATTTGAGGATCGTTGGGGGTTCAGGGATTGGGAAGAATAGGGAGGGTGGGTAATTTGTCCCTCCCAGACCCCTACAGCATGTCTGTTTAGCACAAACTTCTTAAAACTAACTTTAGTACAAATGGGTAAGACTAACAGTTTCTAGAACCATTAGGTAGACCTTCATATGTTAACAAGCAAACCCAAATCAGGTTTGAAATGATTAAAGCAAGTCCCTATAAATATGAAATTAATGAAGTCCCTAAAAACCACTTTTCCCGAGGATTAAAAATTTACTTACATGTTTTCAATTCCTTAAATAATTCATCTTTGGTCAAATTGTTGTGTGGTGTCACTTCAAAACCATAATTGGAAAAGGTTCTAGTCAAAGCCTCAACATCTTTTTCAGTCCCAAGCCGAGGTAGATGTCCATCAATTTCCTTCTGATTAAAAATAATCATTGCATGTTTATTAAAAGTCTCTAATTCATACGTTGTAGCTTCTTTCGGTAAAGCTCTTGTGTTGATCCGCGTATATTTCTTTTCTTCATTCTCAAAAATAGATTCTTCTTCAATTTTTAATTTGTCTACATTACTTTCTAGTATTTCTACATCTTCATTATTTATGAATTTTACTTTTTCAGGTGCCGTTTCGTATTCCGGCGGCACAGACATCATGGCGTCAGTGGATATTCGGTTTTCATTGAGATCAGCTGATTCATCGACATTTGCACGGTATATCACGGATTTGTTAGAATCATCTTCTGTTTCATCCGGCCCGCTGCCATTTTCATCAGTCATGATTGGGTCTTCTACAGATTCCAAAGTCTCTGATTCACTTTTATTATCTCCGTTGTTGTCTTTCGTCTTTTTCCCTGATTTGCCTTTCTTCTTCTTTTTCCCTTTACCTTTTCGTGACATAAAGTATATTCCAGGGTAACTCTGATAGTATTCGGTTTCGTTCTCCATTTTTTGTGTTTAAAACGGAAACTTCGAGAGGACCACCCGTGAATTTCTTCACTCATACACTAGCACTGATATTTTTCACTCGTTTCACGTCCACTACCTATCAATTTCGATACATTTGACAATTTATTTTGCAATATCGTTAGTTATCTGTTCTGTTCTATTATAATAATTTAATCTTATCATTCCGATAGTGCAGCCATCGACATCGGGGACTTATGCGGTGACATCATACACCATATTTCGTGTCATACAACATTATATCTTGCGTAATAGTCTTAGAAGCGGCTGTAGTGCGGTTAAGGAAAAAAGTTTAAAAAATCCCTTTAGATAACTAAACATTACCAATTTAAAAAAGTACATCGATCTTAACGCCTGCTAAAAAGTTGATGGCAAGGCTTATCAATCAGATTATCTTCGCATCCAAAACTGAAAAGCATCGTCATTATTATGTTGACGCAAAATAAAACAAATGTTTCGCAATGTAACATACCTACCTAAATTCAAAATAATGATAAGCTAAATAATTTGCATATTATCTATTTTAAAATCTATGCATTGGACCGATTAAAATGGGGCCTCCTGAGTTAGTTCTCATAAATGTGGTAAATAGGTAGGAACGTTGCGTACCTACATACACAGATCTACCTGTTCTTTTGTTTTTTTTTTTTGAAGGAGGAATATCATGTATGTCTTATAATGACTTCTCCTGCGTTGGGTAGGCGAGAGGGAGTGTCAGACTCTTACTGACTAAAAACCACCCCGTTCCTACTTCTACTCCCAACCGGAGCCCCACGGTACCGCAGTTCCGGGTCGAAATAGGTTTCTACTGGACTTTGAATCGCGAAGGTAAGTTCAGTCAAGGGCTGCCTTATTAAACGACGTAGATATATCTAGATAATTAGGTAGCCTTATCACATACGAATCACGATTGCAAGTTTCATTTCCGGATTGCACACAAGTGGCGTAATGAATTTCCTATTTATTTATTTTATCATTAACAACTCATTCCAGTCCAGAGTCCAGTTAGTCCACTAAAATGGGACTCCCCTAATAAGAGAGTTTACGATAATCTCACGGTTCGATAATAAGACTGATGACTGTTAAGGAAGCAAAAGAGGTATTTTTTTATGGGATAAGCCGGTAAACGAGCAGAAGGATCACCTGGTGGTAAGCAATCGGCGTCGCCAATGGTCACCTGGAACACCAAAAGCGTTACTTGGAACGTAATTGTCGGTTACAGGCCTTTTGGAGATTAGGAATTTGAAGATTGTTGGGGATTCAGGGATTGGGGAGACTTTCACGGTGGTTTTCTGTGTAGCCATGGTATAATCCTGTCCAGCCGGCCCATTCGTGCCGAAACATGGCTCTCCCACACTTAGGTATGTAAGAGCCGTAGCAATTGACGTTCCATTGTCTCTGCCTACTCCCATGGAAGACAGGCGCGATGTTATGTATGCTAGGCACATGGGTCTAGGATTTTCTTTTATCAGAGAACGATGAAGATTGGTCTCTATTAAATTTACCCACCTAGCTACTAAGTAACTAACCGTCAGCACGAACCTGCGGACAGCGAGCATGAGTGACTCGCCGCCCGACCTTAAAGCGCCATCAGACTACCACAGACAGAATTTGGCCCAATAGGGCTGATGCCGATACGGAGCCGCGGAGGACTTAACGGCTCGAAGTGCAGGAGTAGGAACGGGTGGTTTTCAGTCAGTAAGAAACTGACTCACGCTCTTGCTTCACCCGGACGGCAAAAAACATTGGATGATTTACACCCCTCAAAAAAAAAGCTATTAAATAATTAAGTAGGTACTCGCTTCTTGATTGTTGATCCATTTACTTTGTAGCATAGATTTTTCAGCCCTTCTCTAGGTACCATTTTAATATAGGCGTTCCTCAATATCCTCCATTAATATCTGCATTAAGCTCTTTGTAGCCAGTTCAGCTAGTGACCTTCTTCAAGTCATCTTTGTAGCGCATCCGTGGTCTATTGAAGTTCTTTCTCCGATCGCATGTTAAGAATAGGTACAGGTACCTAGCTATCTATATTCTTGTAACTATGTATTAGTTTATAATTGATTGTCAAACGGTCATGGAACTAAAGTATAAATATGTAGTAAAATAAAACCAGTAGCCATAAAGCAGTCGCGGATTGTGCCTAAAATATAGTAAAGCAATAAGACAACTCATAATTTATTGCTCTAACTTATGCACAAGGCGCTATAAAATAATGTAATCGAAGTAATCGAACTTTTTATAGATACTATACATACCTATTTATGTATACAAGTAGGTAATCTGAGTAATTTAATAGATATTTTAGGTGCCGTAATAACCATATTTTTTGTCTTAGCTTTAGGCGGGTACCTAATTATGATTGTAAAACTAATAAGCCTAATATTACTAAGAAACGCAACACAAAATGGAGTCTTCTATTTTTTTAAGTTTAGTTTGTGATACCTTAATGCTGAACTATTGGTGAGAACTATCTACTATACGATTTTCGTAATTTTTACCATTTTCGTTTTGTACCCTATGCTGAAGGCCTACTTAGGAAACATTTTTGTGTATGCTTTATCTATACGATATAAAAACGATTTAACTTGTATGACTTGTATCGGTGCTTGAAGGTCACAAACTTGATTTCGGAACTTTGTATTAGGTATCGAATGGTTCAATAACATCATACTTCCAAAATAAGTAGTTGTAAGATAAAACAAGTCGCGATTCGAGAATACTACTGTGCTTGCTTGGATTTTATTAATAATCAACTTATTGTACTGATGTTGTAAGCGGCGACAGTTCGAATCGTATTTTCTCCGAAGCCAAGTTCAGTTTTTTTTTGTTTTCAAGGCTAGCAATTTTCGCGTTCTGAAGAACTGTCATCGGTCACGCCTTGCTATTGCTACATCTGTCAAACCAATGTCAAAACGGTAATCAAACCGCGACAGTGTCGTGATCGGAAACTCGTTTATTTTTTTAATTTTTAATTATAAATACACCTAAAATGTATTACGTAAAGTGCAAAAACTTGATCTATAATAATTAATACGTTTTTAATTTAGTATTTTATTCGTGTAGAATAAGTTTAAACAGTGAAAATGTTCAATTACAAGTACCTCAGCCGCGAACACCTTGAAGGGTTCGATAATTATAAGGTATGCGTGTTTCTATTTATTGAATTAGTGTTTTCCGCTATAAATAGTGTTGCATTATATTGCAGGATTATGGAATAAGGTTTTATTTACGATTCTAGAGGTGTAATTTAATAATATAACCTTAAAGATATTGATTTTTTTACGCAGCGCATATCCAGGAAGTTGTCGGTGTTATTGCCGCATTATGTTGATGGCTTAAAACTTAAGTCGTATTAGTTATTTATGTTCTAATAATTTATGCGTTTGGCTTCATTGTTTCTGGTCAATATGCTGTACACGAAACGATTTTATTCATGCAAACACAATACCCGCTCTAGTTTCGTGTTTACGTAGCTAAAAAAAAGTAAACGATTCATTTCTAAGAAGTTTTAACTAGAATATTTGTGATGCTTTCTTGCGTAGAAAGTGCAAGTCATTTTTATAATTACAAAATTATTACTATCATTCTTAGTTTCAATTTCTTATCAGTTTTTAATTTGATTGTGAAGTACGAAATTAATTACTGTATTTCATTGCAAATTATTAAATACTTGTTTTGTACCTATGCATGAACATATAAAAAATAAAATGTATACATTCATTCTAAAAAAAAAAATATTGTGCCCATAACATTCCTTCAAACCTGACATAATTTTTTTACATAACATTTGGCACACATAGATAACATAAAGTAGTCCAGCCAGTGCCAAAAGAGGTCAGTTGTTCTTTTTTTTAAATTCAAGACATTTGGCAATGTTTATCTGATTGGCTTATTAGGCCATTCTCATTTATTACTGGAACATAAAAACTAGTTTCATGTAAATCTTTTTGTATTGTCCTTGAACTATTAATAAACATCCAAATATATGTATTGAATATATTTCCTGGTGGTGTTCTTTGTATTAAATACAAACTAGTTATATTCATTTTTAAAAATTCACAGTATTTAACTTAATTAGTCTTATTGGATATTTTGTTTAATTTATGAATTACTACATAGCTATTTTTGCAATTTCCTTGTCTCTTTGTTTAGTTTACATACATACATATGTAATTAGTAGTTCATGTAACTAAGAATTGATATAAACTAAATAAAAGTATGATTAAAATATAATTAGAAAAAAAATATTTACACCTTAATATTTATTACAATAGCAGAAAAAGTAACATAAGGCTTCAAAAAAGTTATCCTCATCATTATTGTGATGTAGGGTGCCCAAAAGACTGTCAGCATTACCATGTTGAATACCAATGCTGAACCTTTGACCAAGGTAGTAGCCAGCCCAATCACCTGAAGTATTAACCGTCTAACCACCTAAGAATAGTTTTGGGTGCAACCTTTCATTAATAGTCTTCGAAAAAAAAGGAGGTTAACAGTTTGGTCCATGTGTGTGTATGTATGTGCGCGATTATGACGACTGTGTGATGATTTAGATGTGGTTATGGAGAAAGATTTTGTTTTCAAGAAAGTTTTAGTACATTAATTAACTGACTTCATAAAAGAGGGGGTTAGAGTCGCTTTTTAGTTTATGAATGAATTATTTTATTTAGTGTAATAAAATTATACTCTGTGATAATGCCCCTTAACTTTAACTGTAACAAATGAATTTCGTTTCTTTTTGCAGTACATGGCCATAGACACCAGTCCTCTGAGTGTTTATGTTATGCATCCTTTTTGGAACAAAGTTGTAGAGGTGAGTAACTTATAAACAACATTATTGCAACTGAATTTTTATTTTTTTCCTCAATGGAGTCGGGAAGATTACTGAGTCACGTCATACCAGTGTAACTATATTATTATAGTATTTTTTATACAGGACACATCTCCATGAAAATACAATGTAACCAGAATTTAACAAGTCAAGATCAAATCAAATCAAATCAAATTTATTTGATTGACACAAAATATGTCCTTTTCTTATACTTGACCGACTGCTTCGTTGACCGAGGGGTCGCAAGAGCTACTGCTGGGCGAGGGGTCATGGATTCGATTCCAGCAAAATTCTCAAGCTCGGAGTCTTGAATTGTGCTCGGTATATGGCAATAGGGTCACCCCCTATTACATGGGACCCATAACACAAATAGTAAAAATGAGTGTTAGATTGTAGTGGCATAATGTGCACCTCTGCCTACCCCTTCAGGGATAAAAGGCGCGATATTATGTTATGTTATGATCTTATACTTACATATTAGCAGTAAGTGACATAACTACAAGGCGGCAAATCAGCAAAATGATACGGGCCCCCAGCTGAAAGGAGCCCCATCCAGAAGCTTCTACCTGAACTTCTAGCTTTTAATCGGCAAAGTGGGCCCATTTGTCGCGGAGAACCTAACGGGTTACCAGGGCTCCGGCTCGAAGTGCAGGAGAAGGAACGGGGTGGTTTTTAGTCAGTAAGAGTCTGACACTCCCTCCCGCCTCACCCAGGCGGGAACAGTCATACGATGATTTTCCCCCCTTAAAAAAATTCGTTGTATTTGCCACAGGCCTCGAACAGTATATTATCGTCATTCCTAGCAGTAACAGAATTCCTTTACATTCTACAAAAATTTTCAGCAGCAATTACATTCACTATACATATACATATATGAATTGAGAAAGTGAATATCATAGTTGCGCTGTTACGCCTTAAATGCGAGGCATTGTAAAGAACTTTACTAAATACAAAGTGTTCTATTTTACATATTTTATTATTTTGAACATAGGTACGTAGGAATGTAGTGAGGAAGAATGGTAATTTTACATCATCCTTCCTTATTTCATCATTTCATATGTCTAGGTATAACCAAATATACAACATGTAACGTAATTAACGCACACCCTCAAACACCCCAATTACAATATTGTGTTATAATCATAATACATACACTAAATTTTTAATTTAACATGTATATGCATCTTTACCGGTCTTGTCATAAGGTTTATTTTTCTTTATTTTGTATTGAATGATAGAATTTGTATGAATAAAAATAAAACTGCGATTTTAAAAGTCTTATTGCTTTGACTTACGGTCCATTTAGATTTGTATTAACAATACAGGGTTAATAATGTTAATATGACAATAATTTCCGTAGTTTTAATTGTTTTTGGGATAAAAATTTACCTATACTAAAAATTATATAAATCGATTCAGTTAACGATTCTGAACAAACTATTTTCAGGATGTGCGTTCAGCGTTATTTAAGTTACATGTTGTATATATATTGATGTATGCAAAACTAATAGGAAATTAAACAATAATCTTGAGGCAGTATCAACAAAGCCTATGGAGTACCTAATTGTTGGTGTCAATCATAGTGTATTGACAATTGGTGTCTCGCGTCGTGTTCCGCGCTAAAAAGCCATCAGACCACTACAGATGGGGCCCAGCAGCACTGGTATACTGGTATACCCGATACGGAGCCATGAAAGGCTTAACGGGTTGTCGGGCTATTGCTGTGAGCAAGAATAGAAACGGTAGTTTTTAGTCTGGTGGCACTTCTCGCCTCACCCAATGCGGGAGCAGTCATTGGATGATTTTCGCCCTTAAAACAGAAAAATTGTATTGAGAATATTGCAGGTTTTTAAAAATTCTCAGTAGTAGAATGGAGTCTGGAATAGTGCCCGGTATATGGCAATATAGGCTCACCTCCTATTATATGGGGCTCATAACATAAATAGTGAAAAGTGGGTGTTACATTATACAGTGGCATTAAGTGCCGTAATGTGCACCTCTGGCTACCCCTTCGGGGATAAAAGACGTGATGTTATGTTACATTAGACAGTGGCATTAAGTGCCGTAATTTGCACCTCTGCCTACCCCTCTGGAGATAAAAGGCATGATGTTATTTTATGTTACTAACCATGTAGGAAATATTGTCCAGGCAAGGTATTCAGTATTGATAGCACTTATAACAAACAATACTATTTATTTTATTTACAAGCTTAACCATAGATAAAAGTCAGTCCAATAAAATTCACTTTCCACTCATAAAACGAGGAAACACAATGATAAGGGACTGAATATATTTGCGTACAAAACAATAAACTAGTATCGTATGATTCCTTATCAATATCATCTAAGGTTATCAGTAAATTGCATGTTTATACAATTTCTATCTTATACCGTTGGATTAAGGTGGATTATTGTCTTTAAAGTGAGTGGTTTTCATGGGTCATTGTTATTGTAATAACTGGCTATTGTCACAGTGTTTAACATGTCATGCAATGGATTTGCCTTGAAGCGTCCTCTTGCTTATTTTACGGTAAATACTTGAGCTATTTTAAAATTGTAATTTTGAAACTAAGCTGTTAAACTGCCATGCAATTTTTTTTTACTAAATATAAGTATGATATTGATATCATACATGGAGAATATAAAGCTGACCTTGTGTTCTCCAAATTGGGTATACAGATATAATTAATATTTCTGTGTGTATACCCCATTGGGTGTAAATTCACTCTATAGTGTACTATAGACATAATATAACATCACGCCTTTTATCCCCGAAGGGGTAGGCAGAGGTGCCCATTATGTCACTGTACAATGTAACACCCACTTTTCACTATTTATGTTATGAGTCTCATGTGTGGCGACGCATGCCACATGTCAACGGATGACGTCACAAGAATCCTACATCGCACATGCAAAGTTTACAAGCGAATAAACACGGATAGAAAATCCCAACGAACAACTGTTGGGCAGAAAGCCCGCCAGGCACGATCACCTCGCCTGGTCGGAGGATCCTCCTTTTCCGATCTTAGGGAACTATACTCTCTGTTCCCTAAAGTGGAGGCCCCGACGAGATTGGAAGCAACCTTCACTTCACGGAGCAGATTAGCAGCACCGTCATCCGTATCGCCATCCCTCTCATTCATCATTTCTCCGCTGAGCGGTAATCAAGTCGCAGCCAACCAGTATCCTCGGCCTCATCAGGGACCACCATCACTTGCAACGAAGTCGTGCAGCCTGGTTCTTCCCTACGGCCTCACCAGCGTCTAGGCACAGCACTTCTGCACACGGTTCTGAAGGACATCTCCTCCCGTCAATGCAGACGCCAGCCACTACGCACCTACCCTCGCAGCATCTCTTCCCCGACTCACCGTGGGACACTGCGAACTCATCTCTCCGACTCACTAGAGTTTAACCCTGCACCGCTCACCCGACTCACTGGGCACTCAGCGGCACAGTTCTGACTCACTGGAACTAGGGACTTTCTACACTGGTTCTGGCACCGCTCATCTCAAGCATCGACAGCCGTCTCAGCGGGATCGACCTCCGGTCTTGGGAGGGAGTGATGTGGCGACGCATGCCACATGTCAACGGATGACGTCACAAGAATCCTACATCGCACATGCAAAGTTTACAAGCGAATAAACACGGATAGAAAATCCCAACGAACAACTGTTGGGCAGAAAGCCCGCCAGGCACGATCACCTCGCCTGGTCGGAGGATCCTCCTTTTCCGATCTTAGGGAACTATACTCTCTGTTCCCTAAAGTAATAGAGGGTGAGCCTATTGCCATATACCGGGCACAATTCGAGACTCTGTGCTACTACTGAGATTTTTTTTAAACCCCGTAATACTTTGCCCGACCCAGGAATCGAACCCGAAACTCCTTACTCAGCAGTCGCACTTACGACCACTCGGCCAACGAGGCAGTCTGTACTATAGAGTGAATTTAAAATATAATATCTACTTTTCAGTAGTGTATCGATTGTGGACTATCTTGTTAGTGAGAAAATGAAATCCACATGCAAACATTCCAATACAGAAACAGTTTATTTAAAGAAATATTTTTAGACTGAATTTAAGTTTTAGCAGATAACATTGAACTAGATCTAATAAATCTAAATTACATTTAGCAACATAGCTTAAAACAAGGAGAACAGATAGAATTGCAGAATTTAATATTTGTGTCACAGTTCTTCGCACGGGTGTCGCTAAAACCGACTAAGGGTCGATTATTCAATCAACAGTTAGTATTAACTGGACAATAAGATTGACATAATTGACAGTTATTAGTATGGAAGAATTATCAAATGTTCAAAGATGTTCCCCAGTAAAAATTCATTTAGCGTTGGATGAAATCGGGCCTAAACTAGGCTGCTAGGCTATAAATCGTCTCCTCCTTCTGCGAAGCAGTCATGCTAGCTAATAAGGAGACGGAGCGCGTGAGGAAACGAACCTCTTCAAGCCCAAGCCGTCGCAAGAGACACTCCGTCGTCGGGGATCACTAGACGATCTCCGGCCACACCGTAAGCACGGGCCTACGAGCGGCGAGCACGGGTGACCCGGGCGGGAGAAGTCATTGGATGATTTTCACCCCTCAAAAAAATTACTATAGCATATATCAGGCGAAGACCGCTCTCTGATAAATTGGAACCTTTAAAACCGGTAAGCGGTATCTCCTACCGCCTGGGGATTATAACAAATAGAAAAAGGATACCTGTAGCTCAGCAGTGAATTGTCGAGTCGAACATCCACAGCCAACTAACATAAGTTAATTTGGTTTAGCTCGCATAGTTGAGCCAGTTTGTTATGTGCGTTCACCGCAAAATATATCAGCTAAGCTACCAGTTCATTTTCAGAAGCTATTTTAGAAATAGGACACATATTTTTCTACTACATAGATAACGTGAGCACGTCCCGTTTTATTTTATTTTTTCATTTAAACTTTAATGTACACAGAATCAAGTAATGGTACGTAAGGCGGA